GTGAGTTATTTTAATTAAAGCCCGGAGAAAATTAGCACAGTGGGATCAAATTCAGGCACCACTCAATACTTCAGGATATTTATAGAAAAACAAACACAAAAACAAAAAAATTCAATATCCTGACTGGTTGCTTTTAAACAGGTTACTTAGTGCTTTGTTTTCCTGGTTTAATTGTTTCTCGTTCTCATCTTGGAAGAACACTGATGTTGTCCATTTTGACCTTCTGCAAACTATGAAAGCCAGAATGAAAAAACCAAGGCCTGGCATTTCCCAGCTCCCAAACAACACTGATGCCTTCTCAACTCCTTTCCCCAGAAGAAAGGAGAATGGGGAGAGAGCACATTCTAAACAGAAAGGATTCAAAGGTATTGATTTTGAGAAGGACTAAATGGTTGGGACTTGAGAAAGAGAAAAATCTTCACATTTTCCTCTTTGTTTTCCATCAAGTAGGAATTGGAGCCTGCTCAGCGTGGTTCAGAGGTGGAAGATCTCAAGGCTTGCGGTCTCCTGCTACTCCCAGTGTGGTTCAGGGATCAGCAGCAGGGCCTCTCCTGGGAACTGGTTAGCAATGCAGAATCTCCGCACCCATCCTGGGCCCCATGAGTCAGAATCTGCATTTCCACAGGATCCCAGGTAATTCACATTCTTAAGCTCTTTAAGCCTCATTTTTCCCACATGTAAAAAGGGATAATAAAACCTACCTGGCAGATCCATTTAGGCTTAAATAAAATAATTTCTGCCTAGAGATCTGGCCGGAACATTTTTATTATCTCCCACTTCCCCCTTTCAGGTGCCCAGCTGTATGCAAACCTCTCTTGGTTTTGACTCAGAACTACAGAACTAGAAGAAGCCCTTAGAGCCACCTCTCTCTGTGTACAGAGCAGGCCAGTGGGACCCAAGTAGAGTAAATGACTTGTTGTCAGACATCTCCTGGCTGGAGAGCTCCTAGAGGGCAAGACTTGTGTCTTTTTCACCTTTGTTTCTTTAGGTCTTAGCACGATGCCTGGGCAGGCAATAGACTCCCAGCAGACATCTGTTGAATGAATTGGTCAATCAAGTAATTAACTAATTATGGAGCAGGAACTAAAATGCAGATTCCAATAACACATGGATATACCTGAAAGTAAATTTAACTTCCCTTGAGTTAACTTTTTTAAACAGTTTAAAACAAATTCACACTTGGCTAATAGTGGAGGTCATGGGTTTTTGTTGCAGAGAACGTATCTCCCTTTTAACTAAACATCACCATTATTTTCAATGTCAGGAGACACACAAACTTGAATGCCTGGAAAGTAGGTATGACCCATCGGCAGCTGGCTTGCCCTACTTAGCTGGGTAGAAGGGCAGAGCTAATGAAAGCACTCTGGGGAGATGACCAAGTTTGGGACAAGTACCAGCAGATGCTCAATGCTGAAAAATGCTGCCATCAGAAATGCCACAGTGGGATTGTCTGTTCAGCGAGATGCAGGCAGGGCTGGCAGACAGAGGCAAGTAGCTCCTGGAGTTATTGCTCTGAGGGGGTCTTGCATCACCCACTCTGTGGGAGCCCAGGCCACCTGGCTCACCTGCCTCTGCATGGCAGTCCTCAGTGACAGGTAAAGCCCAAGGGAAGCCCAAATTTCAGCATATACCTTTATACATCAGAGGTGTCTGTCAAACATAAATGAATGGAGAACATTATTTGTGGAGTTCCCTGTCCTTAGACATGGTGTTCTGTGGATTTAGTGAGTCATTCTTCTGGGAATGGTCACATTTCTATATAATTCATTTTTTTTTCAAAATTTCTAAGTAATTAAAAAAATATTAATAGCTCATGCACATACAAGGGAAAGCAAAACAAAATAATAGACTTGACAAGAAATGTCCCCTCCTTTCCAAATTTTCCCTTTCCTCTCCCCAGAGACAGACACTTGTTCTCAGTGTGTTATGTATCCTTGCAAAGAAGCCTACAGACACACACACAGATACACACATACCCTTCCCAAACACACACAAGCATTTCTCTACTTGAATGTAAGCCCAATGAGGGCAGGAATTTCTGTTTCTATTATTCACTTCTCTGTCTCCAGTTCTGAGAAGCGTAACTAGCATACAGAAAATGCCCAACAGCCATATGTTGAATGAGTGAATGTATACTCACATGTCTTCCTGAAAAGTTCAAGTTTTGGTCAATCAAGTCCTAGTCCCTCTCTATTTTATTGCCTGTTCAAATGAATCTTCAGTGGGTAGTGGCACTATTTCCTCAACCAAGGAAAGAGGATAACTGTTAGTACCTGCATTTCAGGGTTGCCATGTGGATGAGCGATCACGTAGAAGTGTTTGTGGCTGTCATTACTGACTGCCTACTCATGGCAGAGCCCTCAAATAGAAGGGAGGCTCCTCGGTGCTCCCACAGCATCCTGCCCTACCAGTAGCTACCCAACAGCTAAAACACACGGTTGTGCTTACTGGTCTATTGCTGGCCTCCTTCCATCAGAGCATGAGCTTCCTGACAGCAGGCACTGTGTTCATTAGCTCTACATCTCCAGGGCCTTGTATATATTAGATAAGCAAATAAATAATGCTTCCAACTGAAGAAACTGAGGATGAGGGGGACACAGAATAGGTGGTTCAGAGACGTTCATTCCCACCTGTGCACACATGGGCACATGTACACCCCTACCCTGGTCCCTACGAGCTCACACCAAAGGTTTAAATAAAGGAGGAACATAAAAGCCCCAGTGTCAACAGCTCGATTAAAGATGGTGAATGCACTTGATTGTGAAAACGTGCATGTTTCAACAAAGCCAGGTAATAAGGAAGATCAATAAATCTGTTAGCACTGGCCATTTTCAACTGGATAAAAGAATAAAGTAATTGGTCCTGAAAGACAAACAATTCTAAATTAGGTTAAATGAATGGAAATACCCTTTCTGTTAAGCCAAATCATGAGGACATCAACAACAATAAATAATTAAATTAGAGGCCATTTTGAGCCAGTATGATCTGAGCACAAACAGGAATTTCCGGAAACAATCTTCTTTATGGGACACAGAAATGATGCATAGCAAGACAACAGAGATAGAACTAGAGGTCATGTGGGACCCACTGCTTGACCAAGCATCTATTAGAAACCCACCTTTCCTATAAGCTTGTTTCTTCAACATGACTATTCCTCCTTCAATTTCTTTATTAGTAAGACAGGCACACAAGCCAAAGGAAATACATATCTATGCTCCTGTAATGGCAGAGGGGAAGGAGGCTCTAGTAGTGATCAAAAGAGCTCTGCTTTCCAAACACTCAGGATTCAATTCTGTTTCTCATCTGCTAATAGTTGGCATTTGCTGGTGTTAACCATGGATGATTCATTTCAGAGGAACTGCTGTGCATCAAGAGGCTATTTGGAAGGAAATGAGGGTTTCTTGGCTTATGTCTCATCAAGCATCTTAGCGATGTCTCTTTGTGACATTATAAACTACTTGATGGGGGCTTGGTGCTCACTGTTTTCCAGCTGATCCCCTTTGTCTCATCTGGTACATATAGTCACTTCTAGGAACAAGCATTTATTCCATTAGAACCAAAAATAGAGCCAAAAATCCTAAGACACAGGGGCTTGCTCCTAGGGTCTGAGAATCAGCCACAGCAAGAAGTTATGCCGGGCTGGGGTGTGGTAATGTGGAGTGCGTATTCTAAGATCAATGTTGTCGAACATCTGGATTTTGTTATTTTGTTGTTTTCTGGACTCCATGCACTGCTAGGGGATCTGACATGTCCACGCATGTCTAGGGAGTCTGTGTGGTAAACAGGATCAGGATCTCATTGCCTAAGGCACGACATGCGACGGAGCCTGATCAGCACCTTGGAGCTGGTACCTGGCTTTGAGGCCCCCTGTTTGGGAAGCTGGAGACTCTCCTTAACCTCTCAAGTGACATTTCTTACTGAAGACTGAATGGAACTTGAAAAGAGAAAGGTGGGAGTATCTGGGCTTGATTTTGGGGCACCATAGAAAGGCTGGAAAGGAAGAGAATGCTGAGGATGGCAGAGTGATTGCTGTGGGGCTCTATGAAGTTGCTAAGTGAGAAAAGAGACCACAAAGACCACGATGGGATGCCGGCAGCTGGGCTTTATTTTTTAAATGCCTCAGTGTCATAGTTATAAAATGTGCTCTGCCCAGTGTCCCAGACTTGACCAAACTTGACCTAGAATACTCCTTCCCGTTGTAGGTCATGGTGGGAGAGAGACTGGACCCAGAAATCACACCCGGAAAAAAAACTGCCTTCAATCTTCAAACGTAGTTTAATCATTTAAGGCATTTCATTTTCTTGTTTGCATAGCATGAAAATTTCTGCCTGCAACACTGATGACTGCCTTTGTTTGGATGCTCCTAGAGAGCTCACACTGCATCTACTTAACTTACCCTGTCTATCCAGCCATCCCCAAAAATAAGAGCTTCAAAACTGTCTTTGATAATGATGACACATTCCCTCTGCTCACAATGGTCTCTCCACTTCTTCCCTGCCAATCCAGCCTGCCTATCCTTTCCTTTCCATCCCAAGACTTGCCTCTTTCTTTAAGTTTTCCTGGGTTATTCGGGTCCTGACTTATTCCTATTTGGAGAACTCTTGGTAACACCTAATCAAACACAATGCCTTGCATTGTTCTCTAATGCTTTCATCCTGCAAGTCTTGGATGCCTAACTGAATTGCAAACTCCTTGAAGGTAGAATGCCATCTCCCATTTTCTACTTCCCTCTCCACTGTCCATTCCCCAAACTCAGCACAGACACTAAGCTGGGCACATTTGTTGAAATGCATTGGTAGGCCAGACACGATGGCTCACACCTGTAATCCCAGCACTTTGGAAGGCCAAGGTGGGTGGATCACATGAAGTCAGGAGTTTGAGACCAGCCTGGCCAACATGGCAAAACCCCATTTCTACTAAAAATACAAAAATTAGCCAAGTTTGTTGGTGCCTGCCTGTAGCCCTGGCTACTCAGTAGGCTGAGGCAGGAGAATCACTTGAATCCAGGAGGCGGAGGTTGCAGTGAGCCAAGATTATGCCACTACACTCCAACCTGGGCAATGGAACAAGACTTCATCTCAAAAAAGGAAAAAAAAAACCACATTGTTAACTATTGGTCATATGAATGAATGGTTCTTTTTAATTCTCAACTAACTAGAAGACATTGGATTATTAATATAGAATTCAGAAGGAAAGAGGTAGAATTCTTATGAACTGAAGCTCCAGTGGGACTCAAATCTGAGAGAACCTATCGATATGTATCCTGCCCACTGGCTAACACAGTTTCAAGAGAAAACCCCTTTCACTTCGATTTCAACCCTGGAGGTACCGCTCTAATGCCTGCTATGGATGCAGAGCCTTCAAGTACAAACACTAACGTCTCTAACACGGAGGACAGGTCAGCAGGAAAGATGACTAACCTGCTGGGATTTGAGTCTCGTCTAGTTTCAGACCAAGACTTAGCTATGGATCCGCATTACAGACAAACTGAGAAGGATCCAACCTTGAGCTCGGACCAAGAGAGCTCTTATTTTTAACACAGTGGAAAAAAGATCTGCTTAATTGTGAAAGAGACTCTCTGGGTCAGCTTTGGACTCAAAGCTAAGAACTTTGGCTTTACATTTCTATAAAAAGCTTTCTGCAGAAAAGAACTAAAATAAAAAGATTGGGCAAGGGATGGAATCACTGCCATGTGGCAAACTCATTATTGGGGCCATGACTGGAAGCAGGACCTGGATCGTGGTCTGGGGACTAGACCCAGCAGGGCCTCATAATTAACCTTTTGGCCCGGAGCACATCATCTGACCTCTCAATTTCACCATCTCCGCCATGGAGGTAATACTGCTGGGCACCTGGTAAAGCTAAGCGCTGTACACACGATATTATTTCAGAACAAAGCAAAGCTGGTTTGATCACGTCTGTGTGTCCAACTTGAAAAAAGTCCAGAAGAGGTTGCAAAGATGAGTTAAGATTTCTAAAATATCCCTTCTGAAAGGTTAAGGGATTTGATTGATTCAGCCTGAAAAAAGAGATATTGAGTAACTGTCTTCAAATATTTAAAGGGCTTTTACCCAAGGGCGGGTGAGAGGATGGGAACCACATGTTCTAGTCCACACTGAGCAGGGATGGGACAAGCCCAGGCTCTGACAAGGAGAAGCCTCTGGCATCAAGGGCCATGGAATGCAAATGAGTGGCTCAGGGAAGCTAGAGAATGTCCTTCCAGGAATTACTTTGCTTGGGAAAGGATGAGGAATAAATAGAGTGAGAATAGGCAAAACAGAGGCAAGATATGAACTCTGCAGAAAGCAATATCACAGTCCCTTCCGCACAGATTACTCCCTGAAGTCGCCTCTTTAGTACCTTGTTCTGTTCTTGGCCCTTGTGAACGTGTCCCACCTCAGCGTCAGAAACCTCCCCTCAACAGTTTCCCTGAACACCCTGCCTGATGGTCCTTCATGGGCACTGGGTAGAGCTAGGCCAACCTCTCTGCCCTCGGGTCTCCAAGGCTTCAGGATATTTACTGAGCATCTCTTGCATGCAAGGGCACTGTACCAAAGCACTGTTCTTATGACAATCCTAGCCTAGCACCTACCTTAGGTACTATTAACCCCATGTTGTGGGTGAGAAATCTGAGGTTCTAAGCTAATGAACACTAGGGCCAGGATTTCAATCCAGGTCTGAGGGACTCCTAAGGCTGTGCTCTTTCTCTGCTATCTGTGGAGTCCCAGGGAGGAGGCTGACCACTTTCAGCCTGTGGCTGCAGAAAGAAACGGGGTGCCTCCTGCTCCCTGCTCTTCTGCTTCCACAATATGCAATTCCTCCAGAACTCGACTTAACTGCATGATTTGTGTTGTATGTGTTGCAAAAATCATTCACATTTCTTTGTATCCTCTACATTTTGTTGGAGAAACAGGGTGGTGATCCAAACATGCCAATGAGGCCTACTTGTCATTGCTCTTGACATTGAAGAACTCTCCCAGATGAGCAAAACACCTGGATGGAAGGCAGGGGAAGAAGAACCTATTGGTCCCCAGGTCAGGCCCCGACCATCTCTCATCTGTAAGCCTGCAAATCATGGGGCTTTGCCACATTATTAGAAAGAATAAGAAATAATATGCAAATTACATCATATCAAAAAAAGAAATACTAACAACGGGGCACAGCAGGAAACCATCATTTGCACAGGTGAGAATTACATTGCTGTTTACGCTTTTGCTACCTGAGCTAATTATGCTTTAAGCATCTGGTGAGCCTGGAGTGCCATGCTCACCAGAACCCCTGCGATTATTACTTACAACGTAAGCAAAACATGGACTGAGACTGGAGCTTCCCACAAGAGCATTTCAAGTAGGTTTGCTACGTGGTATAATATAGGTAAAGTGCCTAGCACCATACCTGTCAAAATGAGTCCATTTCTTGCAACCCCTTTCTGGTGTACATATTAGCCAGCCCTCAGCCACAAGCTCTGACAGATGTCCATTCAAATTGTACCAAAGGGTAAAATCACATGACCAGAAATGACCTTAACTGTTATCCAGCCTGACCCCCTCAACATCTGGGGTTAGGTTGCCTGGTTTAGCCAAAGCACACACTGGTCAAATTCCATTATAGTGAACTGCACAGGACATGCAAGCAGTGGAATTTTATTAGTTAGAAATCAACATTAGCTCCAGCTCTAGCAGACATAAACACCCAGGCTTTCTAACAGCATGTGGGCAAGGAAAAGAATCCTTCGGGGCATCCTAGAAGAAGGGGATGTAGTCACTCACACCATCTAACCCCCACACCTCTCTCTGGGCTCCTTGGAATTTGCATGTGTTGTAAACTTTGTGTAATTCCCATGAATGTATTTTTTTTCCATTGATGGGGCTGCAGCATTTGAGAGATGGGAGCTGAAGGGATGCTTGATGGCAGAATAATGGAGTGGTGAAACTTCAGCTGTGCCTCATTTCAACTCTCTCCCTTTCACAGAAGGCAGAGTTAGGTATTTTCATTAAAAAAAAGAAAAAAAGAAAACAAAATGCAGACAAGAATCTGTGAAAGTCCACAGTCTATAAATCCAGGAGTGTGGTAGTGGCAACTTGCTTCACCCCAGACCCATCTCACAGGGCTTAGGTATGAAGTGTTGTGGTTTCTCATTCTCTAGGGCCTCCCCTTGCCCTCCCAACCCTTCCAAAACCACCTCCAGACTAGGAGCCCTCACAGTCCCAGCAACCGGACTAGGAGAACAGATGTATAGAACACAAACAGCAAGAGCAGCTTCTCAGAAGGGATGACTGAAAGTCCTACCCAGCATCCAAAGAAAGGATCCCAAGTCCAAGAACAGCAATAAAAAAAAAAAGAGAGTAGAAAAATGTCTTCTTTTCTTCAGAGCAACACATGCAAGCACTTTACAGACTCTGGCGTGTGTCAGCATTTTTTAAGTAAACTCTATTTTCTTTAGATGAAAGAGATTAAAAAACAGACTCAGAATTTAGCCCAGTGAAAATTGCTTTGGCTATTCACATTCAATAAGCTGTAGATGGAGGCAGAAAAAAATCAATTGCTTCTGATTTATTTATTCATCCATTTGTCCATCTTCTTTCCCTTTAATGTAAAAAAGGATGTCTTCTATAATTTTGCAAGTCATTTATCTTTTCAAAGAAAAAGAAAATAGTCCCAGCCTCCATTGGTTGCTCAGCATCTTGGCACAGGAAATACATATTTAATTAATTATCATATTGCACACAGATTATGTAAGGAAAAAAGGAGATTGATTTTGCCCATCAAATGTTTCGCCAGTGTCTAGAATCAGGAGGCCACACTGCAAAATCTGAAGTCTGTTGAATGTGGATCACTTGCTATGTTAAAAGCAAGGTCAAGGCTTCCCTTCACTGCTTGCTCTATTTCTTAATTGGGGCAGTGGGTACCCTGGTGCTCATTTAATTTGTCTTTAAGCCCTTTTGTACATCTTCAATATTTCATCTGAACTATTGTTAAATCCTCAAATCTTCTACAACAGGTTCTATTCTGGGCTGTTCAGAGCTGCGAACAGAGAAGGGAAGTTGGAAATGCCAAAATGTAATTGCAATAAAGAGCAGGAAATGTAAGTAACCAATTTTGTAAGGCTCTTTCAAGTTTTAAACCAATGCCAAATAATTGAGATCTATTAAAAGAGGGCTTAATTCTGTTATAATCCTCATATACACACAATTATTGAATTATGCCGAATACCTGTTGAGACTGGGTGATAAATTACCTGAATGGAAATCGTCAGGCACCACTGTCAAGCACATCATTTGACTGACTCCTTTGAATGTGTTTATGTAATCCTTCCTTCCATCACTGAGCCTTAAACTAGAGACTGTGTGTGGGGCTGTGACTCCGAGCTTGTGATTCCCCAGTATTCTGGGGAGATGTTTGAAAGACCCAAGTGCTCCAGGCAGGAGAGCTGAGAGAGCTGTGTCCATCTTTCCCTTTGGGACATAATCCCCAAACATCGTTGGTTTCTCACTGCCAAGAGGAACTACACATGGTTTTCCAATATCCCTGCCATGGCATTAAAGCCAACTGTTGTGTCCCCGTGCCCACAGATGGAGGAGGAGGAGAGCAAAGATGGCCACAATAACTACATTTCGGTCCCAATTCCAAATCTTCCTTAGAGCTTATGTCGGCTGCTATCTCCTTGTTCCCATTTGGATAAAGTTTTCTTTTCTAGGCTTCCCTTCTTCCCTTGACTGCTCAGTCCTCAACACCCAGCAAACCCTTCAAAGGTCTTAAGTGTATTAAGTGAGCAAAGAAGGATTGAAACAAGAGGGTGTAAGAGGAAGAGGGTGTAATACACTGTCTAATCAGTGAGTGGGAGCAGATGTTCCCTCACCCCACTATTTAAGAGCAGACCTTTTGCCTGTCTAAAGAGCTGGTAAAAGAAGTAGCACTTCTATCCAAGCTGTAAAGAAGAGTCTGAAGTTTATCACCTTATTTGTTTCATTTCTGAATGCCATTAGACCAACTGGCTTTACTTCCTTCCCACCACACACACACACAAACCCCACGCAAGCCTCCGGGGAGAGGCTGACCCACCGCCTGCCTTGCACATAGCATGCAGAAACGCCCGATTTATTGGCCTCACGTGGTAAGTCCAAAATCTTCCCTCTGCTCTACCAAAGTTAACAGATGGCTGGTCCCTTTTGGTACACAGGCATAAACATCTTCAAAATAACCTTTTCCTTTAAAGGATGCCAATTAATTAAATGTCACTATCATGTGTCCCAGCCAAGGAGGGAAAGAAGAGACCCAGAAGGCAAAGGGCCAATGGAAGAGAGCAGGGTTGAGAGGTCACACTCTCCTACCTTCACCCGACGACCCTGAGAGATCGATGATCACATACACTCTTCCTTCTGGCTCCAGATCAATCTGCAATTAAGAAAATGACAGTGACTCTGTTAGTGCATTGTGTGGGCAACCTGCGAGTTCCACAATATTTCTACCCCAAACTGCTAAAACCTAGAGACACATCTCCATATAATTCACCAACCTACAATGTGTTAAGTGCTAGGTGAATTAGGAACGAAAGAGAATCAACATTTACTGAATGCCTACTGTGTTCCAGATGCAGTCCTGGGAGGTCTGATGCATACCCAATAAGTAGCACCGTCCCAGTGGTTCTCAACTTCAGGCAATTTTGCTCCACAGGGGACGCTTGGCAAACATCTGGAGATAGTTTTGTCATGACTGGAGAGTGCTGCTCCCGGCAGCTAGTAGGTGGAGGCCAGAGATGCTGCTAAACATTCTACAGTGCATAGGATGACCCCTTGCAACAAAGAATCATTCAGTCCCAAACGTCATCAAAAGACATCAAATGTCATCTATGTTGAGGTTGAGAAAGCCCCATGTTATCCCATTTTATAGACATGGAAATTGTGCCCAAATTCCAAGGTAAGTGGCAATGCTGAGATTCAATGCCAAGCCTGTCTGGAGAAACCCATGTTCTTGATACCACACAAACTGCTCCCAGGGGAAATAAGGGAAGCATGAAGACAATATTCCTGCTTTTACAGCACTTATCATCTCATTGCAGAGTTAAAAAATGGAGCACAATGCTGAACCCAGCTTAATGATGAAGGACAGAGAACAACTGATAAAGTATCTGATGAGCCTGAAATTGGAACAAAGGGAAGAGGAAAGGGAAGGCATGCCAAGGCGTGAGAAACATCACAGGCGCCCTCCTTTCCTCCCTCCCTACCTCAAATCCAGCTCACTACTTATAATATATAGAGCCAAGGTGGTGAAATAATATGGTAGGGCAAAAGCCAGAGGGCCGGGCCTCTTGTAGTTAAAGACATCTTTGCAAGGACTGAACTATCCTTACAGAAACTGTGTTCTCTCCATAAGAGAGCATAGTAACTCTGGAAACCCTGGATCACCAAGTCCCTCGCTAGCCTCTCCGCCTCCATAATTCCATCTGTCTACACAGAGCTTTCATTGGTTCATAGTGCCAGGCTCTCTCCCCAACAAGCTGTGAATTTCTCAAGGGCAGGAACCACTATCCCCTCCTTCTCCCTTTTCACCATCCCCAGCAAAGAGCAGGCACGCATTCAGCAAGAATTACTTCAGAAGAGTCAGTTTGGTGGGTATCTCCTCCTCCTTCAAAGCCAAGGTCAATTATCACCTCTCTGAAATCTATCCAGATATGCCTCATCTGGATTCCCCCTCATCTGTGTTCCCACAATATGCCAGACACATCTTACTCATGGCTCCTGTGATGGTTAATATTGAGTGTCAACTTGATTGGACTGAAGGACGCAAAGCATTGTTCCTGGGTGTGTCTGTGAGGCTGTTGCCAAAGGAGGTGAACATTTGAGCCAGTGGAATGGGAGAGTCAGACCCACCCTCAATCTGGGTGGGCACTATCCAATCAGCTGCCAGTGCGGCTAGAATAAAGCAGGCAGAAGAAACTGGAAGGAATAGACTGGCTGAGTCTTCCAGCCTTTATCTTTCTCCCACGCTGGATGCTTCCTGCCCTCAAATATCAGACCCCAAGCTCTTTAGCTTTTGGACTCTTGGACTTACACAGTGATTTGCCAGGGTCTCTTGGGCCTTCAGCCATAGACTGAAGGCGGCACTGTGGGCTTCCCTACTTTTGAGGTTTTGGGGCGTGGACTGGCTTCCTTGCTCCTCAGCTTGCAGTCAGCCTATTGTGGGACTTCACCTTGTGACTTTACCTTGTGAGTCAATTTTCCTAATAAACTCCCCTTCAGATATACATATATCCTGTTAGTTCTGCCCTTCTAGAGAACCTTGACTGATGTAACTCCTATTAAGCTGTAATTCATTGTCCATCTATCTCTCTGCCCTGCTAGACAGAAAGTAAGATAACCAGATTTGCACACCTAGTTCTTAGCTCACTGCCTCTTAGGAAACATCCAGTGCACACCCATGGAGGTGGGAAAAGGCTCTGTGTTCAGAACTTCCAGGGTGTATTCTGGGCTCATTTACTCTCCCAAGCCTCTGTCCCCAGGAAGGAAGGCAGGCATGTGATCTCTACTAGAATGACATTTGAACAAGGGGAGAGGAAAGACAAGGCAGCTATACCAGGAGCACCACATGTCCCCAGGAGACAGAGCAGTTCAGCTGGAAGGATGTTCTCTGGACTCTCCCAGTGTCTCACCCTACACACAATTCGGGAGGCTCCCAGAGCCACTCCTTGGCCCCATTTTGTCTCCTGCCTCAGCCTCTAATGGTTGAGAGAGCTTAAGGTTTCCCTCAAAATTTCATTTTCATCCACAAGACTCTTCGGTGCCCCGTGGGAGAGGCCACTGGTGATAGCTGAGGTGCTCTGTGGGCATAGGAGTGAGGGAGTGCCGTGAGCAGGCCTGCGTTGGCCCTCGGGCACCCCGTGGGAGCTGCTGATCTGAGTTTGGGATCTTCAGCTTTAAATCCAGATGGGAACCAAATAACAAACTGATAATTCCACATGCTGCCTTTTCTCATTCCTTTCTCCCCAAGAGTCCGTGATTTTAAGTTTCTGGGTAAAGAAAACATTCTCCAGAATTCTCACCGCCAGAGCTGACCCCCACCAGCCCCTGCAGTGAATGACAATCAGGAAGACCAACAGTCGGCTCTACTGAATAGAGCCACACCAGAATCTTCTCCCTGCCAAAGTTCACAAATGTGAGTGGCCCTCTTGCCCAAAAGCATGGAATTTAAATAATGTATGCCTTTTAGAGATTAGATCATCCCTAGTAAACCCTGCTGGCAAAATGAAACACTTTCTCATATCCTCCAACTCAAAGATTTCCCACGACTGTGGACTTTATTGGCAAAGTACAATGCTATCTGTGTAAAGCCGGGAGGGAGAGAGCAAAGGAATGATATAGGCTCTGGGGCCTATCCAAAGGCAGGCAGCATGCCCATCTTTGCAAAAGGGGAGTGAGAACTCGTGGCAGGGAGGACAGGTCATCCATGATAAAATGTATTCGGATATTAACATTCAAGATAGCAATCAGAAACCATTTTAGCACCCACTGCAGCCTCGATGCTGGTGAACTGCATTTCCAAACAGAAAAATAGAAATTAAGCTATTAAACATGCCAAAAGCAACAAAGAGCTTTGCAGCCTGAGCAGATGGCCACAGATCGCCGGCCAAGCCCCAGCCAGCCAAGTGAGGAAGCTCTGAGAATCCATCCAAGGTGCTGGGTCTGCAATGACTGGAGGGGTCACCAAGCATAAAGGATGGTGAAGAGTGTGGCACAACTTCACTGCCAAATTAGTTAAATCATAAATTCCGTTCACGATTACATGGTCCAGATAACGTGCAATGTAGGTGCCCAGCCCCATGCAACCCTGTAAGCTGGCAGTCAGCATTGGCACCAGGCAGCTCTCATGACACAAAAGCAGGCCCGCTACCTCCTCCCAGCCATGCCCAGGGCTATTCTGAGCCACTTCTGTGCACCAGGCCCCTCCCAGTTTCCCGGATACACCCCAATGTATCCAATCTCCTTGGACCTCAAACCCCGACTTGACACATCTTCCCAGCTACTATTTCTATTTTCTTTGACTATGATTCTCTTTCATGCTACAGTGCCTTGGCTGCCCCACCAGCAGGGGCCAGAAGCAAGGTAGTCAAACTGGGGGAGACAAACACGGCCTTTAGTGTCAAACCAGGGCAGAATCCATTTTGTCCTCTATCAGCTGAGTGACCTCAGGCAGCTATTTACTCTTCCTGAGCCTCTCAGCCTCTTTATCTGTGAAATGGGTTGTCATGAAAATTCCATGAAACCTGCATGCATGGCACCTGGCACCCAGGAGACACTCTGCACATGGTGGGTAAGAGTGAACTTAGTGGCCACGTGGCCTGAAGCAAGCAGCTACCCTCTCTACGCCTCAGACTGCTTGTCAGTGAAACGCAGCCTCTGTGAGGTTAAATGAGATAATCTATGAACAGTGCTTAGCAAAGGCACCAGGCACAAAATAGTCATCATTGGTGCAGTTATTATGAAAAAGCCAAGTCTTCTGCTTCTCAGTCCAGTGATCTTTCTTTCTTTTTTTTCTCTTGCTTCAGCCTCCTGAGTAGCTGGGATTACAGGCATGCACCACCACACCCGGCTAATTTTGTATTTTTAGTACAGACGGGGTTTCTCCATGTTGGTCAGGCTAGTCTCGAACTCCTGACCTAAGGTGATCCACTCGCTTCAGCCTCCCAAAGTGCTGGAATTACAGGCATGAGCCACGGCACCCGGCAGCTGAATGTTCTTTTTACTATAACAAGCTTTCCTCAACAAAGTTGGTATTACTACATGTAATTCCAGGACATGTGATGACTTTACATTATTGTTGTGAATATCAAATAAAGAACTAAAGGTCAGGTGGGGTGGCATGCACCTGTAGTCCCAGCTACTCGGGAGTCAGAAGCAGGAAGATTGCTTGAGCCCAGGAAATCGAGGCTGCAATGTGCCACTGCACTCCAGCCTGGGTGACAAATGAGATCCTGTCTCTAAAAAGAGATTCTTTAAACTATGGTAAGAGTATTGTACTTTAAAATCCAAAGTAAGAGTACTGTATGTACCCTTTCAGGGGGAAACCCAGAGCAAGAAGGGCTATACGCAGGGTATACCTGGGCATCGGGAAGACCTGAGGTACTCATGAAAGAAGAGCAATGGTACCTCCTGTGCCTCTGACACCGTGATGGGCACCTTACGTGCATTAGTTCATCTAATCTCCTATGAGACAGCAATATTCCCTACTTTTCTGATGAAAAAGTAGGCTTAGAGAGCTTTCAGTCAGAATTCTCACCCAGGTCAGCCAGGGGCACAGAGGAGAGGTAGACAGGGCTGGCAAGTCACACCCACAGCCCCAGCCACGCCCGGCCCACTGAGCCTCCTCTGACAATCCAGCCGGAGCTGTGTTCTCCTTCC